TTTCAGAAAGATAAATATCTGTATTGTTTTAGTGGTTCATAATTTATTTCTTAGAATTTTTAAGTCTCTTCCTAAGTTCACAGGGCTCTGGGACCACAGTGGGGATTGACCCTGACTTCTTTTGTCATGATTATTTATAATCATATAATTAGTTTTCTCTGCTGGGTATATATCAGTATAACAGGAAATATCTTTAAAAGATTTAAATCTTACAAACTATATTTCAATATTTGCATTGATAACCATTCAGTTTGGAATTTATTGGTTTTGAAGGCTGAGGTAAGGAAACAGTTTTGTTTTTTTTTTTTGTAGTTAAGTAAGTAATAAAGGCTGTAAGAGAGTGAAATATTAAATTTATATTGGAATTAAAATTCTTTCAATGTATGATAGTTTAGGAGAAATTCTGGTTGGGCAGTAGTAAATGCTCTTAAAATTTCCTGAACCATGAGACTCTGGTACACTGACATGATTTAATTTGGTGTTCAAACTGAGTACTTTTGTTTTTTTTTTTTTTTTTTTTTTTGTATAATAAATTGAACCTAGGAGTGTTCAAATAGTCAGCCATATCTCCAGCCCTTTTTGTTTTTAAGACAAGGTTTTTCTAAGTTGCTTGGGGCCTAATTAAGTTGTTGAGGCTGGTTTTAAACTTTCAATCCTTCTGCCTCAGCTTTCCAAACTGCTACTGTTAACAGTGGTGCACTACCTGCCCAACAAATTGAACACTTTTTATTTTATTTTTTAAATTTAGGGACTTGTCTTTTTTAAAAAATGGCATTTTGCCTGAATCATTGAGTAGATACATCCCTCACCAGTGACATTAGTCACTTCTAAACTGGCTAAAAGATATAAATAGCATCACTGTGAAGGTAATTTAACCCTTTTCACTTTTAAATTCAAGTGAACCTTTAACCATTTATCACATTATACTACCATATGTCTAGCTATGTAAATATCCCTTCCAGTAGTCAATTTATACATCGATACATTTCTGAGATTTAAAATGAAAAAGATTAGCTGGCATAATGCTTTAGCACAAAACACAAATGATATCACCCACCAGAATAGAAGAAAATGCATGTAATAAAGGTAATAACATCAGGAAGAGATTTCTTTATTTTTTGGGGGGAAGGTGGATTTCCAGAGATTGAACTCAGGTGCACTCTGCCACTGAGCCACATCCCCAGCCCTACTTTACATTTTAGAGACAGGGTCTTACAGAGTTGCTTAATGCTTTGCTTTTGCTGAGGCTGGTTTATGAATTCATGATCCTTCTGTCTCAGCCTTCCCAGTTGATGGCATTACAGGCCTGCTCTCCTTCACCAGGCCAGAATTCTTAATGGTTGAATTTTTCCACATTTATTGAATCTTAAAAGTGCCAAAGATGATACTGAGATTAAAATGAACTTCCTTATAGGGATTTAAATTGCAAAATATAGGCAGCCTATTGACTATATAATTACAAGAAAATTCCAATTTAAGATTTAAAAAATGTACTATTTTTTATATGAAGAACTTATAATTTTTCTACATAATTGAGGGTCCCTGACAAGTACTACTCCATTCCATAAAGTGTGGGTAGTTTCTCACAGGATGTAGATTTGATTGAAAGATGGTAATGTGAAAAAATATTCTCTATTTCCAGAGAAGTTCAGGAGGTGAAAGTATGAAATCTCCAGTTATCTTGTCAGATGTTACTAAGAATCTATTACTCCATCTACTCACCAATACTGTCTATCCTCTTCAGCCAGGCAAGTCACTTCTTTGTCTCCAAGTTACAAAAATCTGCTCCCCAAACTGGAAGGTGTTTGTTCTCTGCCACAATGTAAGGACCCAAGTCCCTGACCACTCCACATGCAACATTCTCAAGCATCCCCCAAGAACTTTTAAGAAATTTACATTGTGACATTTACTGTTTAAAGCCCTGGTAAGAAATCTTTTGTTACTCTATGTAAATTACTATCAATTCAGTTGCATGAGATGTTAAAACTACTATTGATTTTACCAAATTAAAAGGCTATTAATGTGGTAACTAATTTTCTTGAGTCTATTCCAACAATAGCTTGTAATGACTATAAATGGTTCTTCTACAGATAAATAAATACTGATAAAAAATAAACAAAGGAATATGTTGCAAAATTAGCTTCCTTACTGAAATGAAACAGGTTATGCTGATCAGTAAGGAATAGCAAGACCTAAAATGTTTGTCCTTTACAAGATTGTAGGCTGAGACACATCCATAGTATTTGTAAGGAAAATGAAATACACATTTATTTAAATGCTAGTAGAATTTTGTTTTGAAAAGAAATAATACTTTAAATCCATCCTAGGACATCTATGCCTGCAACCTTAAGTAAGGAGAAAGTCACTGAAGCTAGTAAATCAAGTGTAAAACTTTTAATTATCAGACATATCTTTATGACTATTGTAGTCTTTGGTGATTAATCAGCTATTTGAGATTTCAAGAGGTTAACTAATGCTGGTTTAAATAATGTCTTAAATCATAAAGGGAATGTATGTTTCCATTTGGTTCACTATAACAATAAACCTATTATAAAAAAAGATTTATTATGACTTTTTGGTATTTTTTTTTAAAGAGAGACTTAACTTGTATTGGGCTGAATGCCATTTGTAATGTGAATTTTATAATTTGAAAGATATTTATATTTTGACCATATTTAATGAACTCAGGAGTAGCTGAGATGTGCCTAGCATATTCTTATTTATTTTTCCTCCTGAATAATTGCTACTTGAGATCTAAAACAACAACAGCAAAATTTTGCCTTTTTCTACTGATGAAGCATAAACCCTTTTATCAAATGGATCACTAAAAGTTAAGTCTTAAATCATTGTTCTGGGAATTTAAGAAATCTGGTTTTCTTATTTCCTCTTTGTCAGAATGTTGTAGATATAAAACCTAGAATAACTATAGTTGTTTTCTGCCATACAGAAAGTTAATCTGAGAGGGACTGAACCAGGAAAACCTAAAGACTCTAATTATATTTACTGCCAAGCCAAAATAAACTCTTGACATTTTCAGTCATATAAGACAATAACTGTCCTGAAGTCTTTGGCCAGTTTGAGTCAGGGCTGTACTTTCTTGAAGGTGAAGTATCTAACAAATAGCAGGAATGGGGCTGCAAGTAACATGCTAGAATTATTTTATAGTAAGGGATGTGAGAAATAATTCTGTAGTTCTCTATTACATGAGAAGCTGGAAATCTTTGATTTATAAATTGTGCAACAGTTGGTCCAAATGTGAATTACATCACTTTAAACTTTAGAGCATATGCTAATAATAAATTGTGAACATAATGTTAGGCAACGGACAAAAAAAAATGTAGATCGATGAATTCTATAGTTAACAAAGAAGAAAATTTATTTTGTTACTTACCTGTGAAAGCAGATAGAATAGAAAAATACTCCAAGAATGGCTCTTCCATCTGTGGTCTGTGATATTAGTATATCAAGTTTAATTTTCACAAACTCTATCGGTTGAAAAAGTTGAATTACTTAAATAGGTCTAAGTGAGGGCTATCAAAAGCAGAGATGAGAAACATAGTAAAAGAAATTGGAAATGTAAATATTCACAATATAGACATGAAACCAAATTGAGAATTAAAGGAAGGCCAGTATAAACATTTATCCCCCTAAAGTCCATCATTTAAATTGGCCTCTGTTAATATATGATATATATAGTCTCCAAAACATGCCTTAACATATATAAATGTTTCACAATAAAAGATGGAATTAAACTATAATTAAAAGACTATTAAATTTTACGTACTTATTTTTGGAATATTGGGAATTGAAACCAGTGGTGGGTGCTATACAACTGAGCTATAGTCCCATTTAGCTCTTTTTCTTTCTTTCTTTTTTCTTTTCTTTTTTTTTTTTTTTTTTTTTTTTTGTGTGTGTGACAGGGTCATGCTAAGTAGCCAAGTCAACTTGAAGTCCTTAAAACTTCTGATCCTATTGCAGAAGTCCTCAAATATTTTGATCTTCCTGACTCAGCCTCTCTAGTAACATATAAAATTATTAAAAAAAAAAACTTTCATTAATTTATCCTGATTTTCAAATTATTTAAAATTTAAGCATTAAAGGGTTTCCAAATGTATTTAGCTGACATTCTTTTATTCATTTAAATCAAGTATTATTATTCAAAATGGTTTATGAATTTTGAATTCATGAATGAAGTTTATGAATCCTCATTAAATCATTATTAATAAACATAAAAAATGACTAAGTCTTATGTCTTTTCTTCAGTCATTTTTAATTTTATGAGTTCCCATTTACAAGTGTTAAAAATGGACAAGAATGACTTTACCTCTTAAGTAATACTTTATATTAATTAAAGATATTTTGATTCAATATATATGGCAATAAGTCTCCATATATTTTATCTATTAGTATTTGGATTCTTCAATGGGGATGTAGCATTAACAATCACTCCCTATAAAATAAAACACATGACTATTTTGATGGTTTTACAAATTTTTTCTCAGTTGCAAATTCTAAACAACAAAAAAATAACAATTAGAGAACACTGATTTAACTTCCATCTTTAAGGAATTTTCCATATTCTTGTGAAAGAGAATATTAAAAATATCACCTTGCTATAACAATCCACTTTGTTAATACCATAGAAGATTGATGGGAGCAAGAAATCGTTATCACTTACTGAGGAATTTTATAGTCAACTCCAGGAATCATTAGGAAATGTTCTAGGCAAAAAATAAAAACCAAAATATCATAGTTATCCTTAAGTTTTTTTTTTTTTTCACTATTTTGATATTGCGTAGCTTAGTCTTAACCAAAATGTTTTCCACTTATTCTCCCCTCAAATTACTTAAAATACACATTAAACAGTACAGTAGCAATGATCAAAGAGCACAAACTATTTTGAAGAACAGAAAAAAATCTCTAGCACACACAGAGAGAGAGAGATCTCATAGTATAGAGCAGATTCCTTTGGAGATATTGCTCAATTAGCTTATAAATCATTATGAAGTTTTCTCTTTCCTCTTTGGCGGGGCATCTACTCTGTTTGCAGTCTCCACTCCATTTTCTGTTCCTTTTCTAGAAGACCGGCCTTTAATCATGGGTTTTTTCTTCCTCAGACTCGAGGCCTGAAGATTAGAATCTTCTAGCCACCTCTGAAGCCAGACTGTCAGTAAGGTCCATGTTATATATGCTTGGATGGTGCAACTGGACGACAGAACAGCAATTTCAGCGGCCAGCACGTTTACATTTCCACTGATGGAATCCGTATCCCCATCCCGGGAATGGGATACAACCAAGTGTAGCCCAACAGTGACTAATGAAACAACTAAAGTTGTGAGTCGCCCCAAGACAAACACGATGGTCCACAGAGAAACCCCCTTCTGGTACTTTTCATCACTAAAATAAAACACGTCGCACAGGTGGGAAATCAATTCAACGAAATAATGCAGCACCAAAAGAAGTAGTCCCAGGTGATTCAAGTACAAGAGATAGGCTCCAGTGATGTGAAAGAGGTGAAGACCAATGTAGATGAGTTGACTAGGGATATCTTGTTTTCGGATTCTCTGGAAGTAGAGTTCCGGAAAACCATGAAACCAGTAAGCCAACTGTGAGATGTAGAAAAACTTCATTTGAAATGTCATCATGGTGTGGGAATGAGTCCTCCACAGGAGAGTTGGGTCTGACAGGCAGTTTTCAGACATGAGGATGATTGTGCCCCAGATACAGGAGACAATGTAGAACACACTAAACTGGCCAGATTCATTAAATTTGTTCTGTTTCGCTTTGGTGAACTGCATTCTCCTGCTAATTTTATCCAGGACATACTCCTGGATCGTGGCGTGAATGATGATCACCACCAGCATGTAGAAGAACACCGTGGCCAAATCTTTGACCCCGTAATGATACAGCGTCTTGGATCCCGTAGCCAGTTCTTCCGCAGGGACGACAACGCTGTGCTGAAGAGTGAGGAAAACAATCGACACTTCGGCCGTTCCCTCGAACATGAGCCCCAGCACGAAGAACATCCCCACGCAGGAGACGAGGTCCGCATGATTCTGCAGGATGAATTCTTGGCTCAGCACCGGGGGGTTCTTGGTGCCCTTCTTACGGAGCCCCATGGTGGCGCTTCCCGGATACTCACCGCCGAGCCGCAGCTGCCTCCCTCTGGCTGCTCCCTCACCACGCCGCTGCAGCAGCTCCGGGGGCTCCACTCCCCATGCCGGAGCCACCAGCCCAGGGTCGTAGCGACTGCCCGGAAAAAATAAATAAATAAATAAATAAATCAAAGGCTGTGGGGCCCGAGCGGTCCGAGCGGGTCCGAGCATGCGCACCAGGGGTACGGCAGAGGCAGGGAAGGAAATCGAGCGCCGCGCCCCTACCCGGCGCCAGGCCCCGGCTGAAAGCGAGGATCTTCCTCGCGGATCGCAGCTCTCCACCTCCACTGCCTCCGCCCAGAGGCACCTCGGAGCTTTTCTTCAGGGACATCCTCGTTATAAATGCGACAGCACGGAGAGAGCTCTAGTTGTGTTTTCTCAGGTTGTAAATCACAATCGCAGTGTCGTTGTCGTCGTCTTCATCGTCTTTATCATCAGTCCTCCTCCTCCTCACCGTCACCTCTCTGCCAACTCTCACCGTGCTGTTTACCAGATGTCATTCCACGCACTTTGTTTTTACTTACAAATTTAACCTTCCTAGAAAGCCAGCAAAGTAGATATTGATAGAATCTGCCCCCCACCACCACCACCACTTTTGTTTGTTTGTTTTTGTTTTTGAAGGACAGGAAACTGAAAGCACAGGGAAGTTAAGTCATTCACAGGCTGACCATCCCATATTCACAGCCAACATTTAGATCCAGTCTGTCTCTCCAGAAATGTACTTCTCACTACTGTGCTTTTAAAATCAGTCACATCTAGAAATATTAGATCAACAGCAAAACATGTTAGAAATAGTTCTATTAGCATTAATAATGATTTTGCCAAGTTAGTAATTTTGAAAAACCCGGTGGCAGCTGGAAGCCCAGGGTAGTCCTTTGGCCACAAACATCAAAACCAAATTTCTCCAATCTCGTGTTTCATCTGTATGTTTTTTTCGTATATTTAGTTTTGCTAAAATTCACATTTCAAAAAAAAAAATGCTTTTGTAAATGCTGGTAACTTTCTCAATTCAAATTTCACATTTGTCTTCAAATCTCTCTTTTAATGGTGAGTGATTTAGCGTTTCTTTGGTATCTCATGAGATCACAGTTATTAATGTTGAGTTAAGATTTGCAGTTTGGAATACACATTTCAGGAGAAAAGGTGCTATGAGACTGAAAGAATAAAGTCAGTTTATATTTAGTCTACCCAATTGCCTTTTATCATTGTCTTTCTGTAAGCGGTAAACTGATAAGATACTACCCAGTTTATGTGATTACTTTTATGATATGGAACAGAATATTCTGATCAATAAACAGTGTGCCTGCATTCCCTAGAATAGCCAAAAAGGAGCACATGAAATTTGCTCTGGGGAGTATTCCTCAGTTAAGGAAAATACCGGTATATTTTTCTATAGCAAGTATTCCCTATTTTTGAAGTATTTCTCACGAGATATTTTCACTTTTTTTAAGGGTCCATTACACAGTTTGTTTGTTTGTTTTTTTAGTTATCCAAGTTTTAACCTCAATTATTGGCTCTGACATCTCCAGTATAAATTTTAAAAACCTTTAAGGTTAACTAAATTACTGAAATATTATAAACAGAGGTGAACACTTTACTACTGAGCCAAAAAAAAAAAAATCAAACTTATTGAAAGCAATCTGTAGGAAGCAATCTAAGATAAGAGTAGTGTCTTGTAGGAATATCAAGAACTCTACTGGAAAAAGTAACTATTTACCTGTTTCAGACTAATGATAACTTAAATGTAGAGTCAGTCTGTCTTTGTATTAGCATAAACATGATGACTGATCATTTGGTGGCAAACAAACTAAATATAAAAAAACACTTGTGCAATTGGGGCTCAGTGGCACATGCCTGAAATTCCAGGGGCTCAGGAGACTGAGTCAGGAGGGTGTTGAGTTCCAAGCCATCCTCAGCAACAGTAAGGTGCTAAGCAACTCAGTAAGGACTTGTCTCTAGATAAAATAGAAAAATGGGGTTGGGAATGTGGCTTAGTGGTGGAGTGCCCCTTCGTTCAATCCCTGGTTAACACCCCCCCACACACCAACACAAACAAAAAAAAAAAAAAAAAAAAAGAAAAGATAAGAAAAGAAAAAATGCTTGTACAATTTCTGAATTTAGACTTTGTTTATATATATTTTTGTTTACTAGTTGATAGACTTCCTCACCCTACCTGTGCCAATATCATTTATATTTTTACCACTAAGGAAGAAAAGTACATGTCAAAATTAAGCCAACAAATATTTATGCAATGATATAAGGTGTTATTTTATTATTAAAGGAATAAAAGCATTTATGGGAAAGTTTTAAATTGCCAATTGGCTTAATAATAAGTAAAAAATAAATATTACCCACTGTGCCCCCATTCCTTACTTGTATTTAAAAAAGCACTTCTTTCATCATATTATCTTTCACTTCTTTGAACTTGTAACATAAAAAGATTCTCTGTATTCTAAATTTTTAAAAAATATTTTATTTTAGTTATCGATGGACACAATACCATTATTTATTTTTATGTGGTGCTGAGGATCGAACCTAGTGTCCCACATGTACAAGGTGAGCACTTTACTACTGAGCCACAACCCAGCCCTGTAATCTGAATTTTTAAATTTAAATTTTAAAGTAGATGTAGTCATTATTTGAATTTTAGATGTATTTTTCACATAAATATAATCATAAAAATATAAACTTCAAATTTCTAAAATTATTTGACTCTAAAGGTACTTTGGTGATATTATATAATATTATGCTTGACATCAGTGGTTTTATTAGCATTTTATTTCACAATGAATAAAATGTGTATAATAGTAATTTTAAAAATTATGATGGCACTATGATTATTATATCATTTAATGTACTTGGGCAATATTCCTCCTTTATACATGGCCCTGTGCCTATAGTACACATAATTTTTACAATTCATATGTTGATTTATATGTTTATACATTCGTCTATGAGGGAGTAACTGAACTTCTACTCCTTTGTAACTAATCTTAAAATTAAACAAAATTTATGAAACTACTTTTATTTCTGATTTTGCAAGACACACAGAATAAAAATTTCTCCTAGAGAGAAGGGAGACAAGTTTGGTCTACCTTTTCCACAAATGTCCTAGTTTTCTGCCTGCAAGCATTTTCCAGACCATTGTGCAAGGAGACAAAATCTAAAAGATCCAGGATATCTTGCTGATTTGAGAGACAGTACTTAGGAGAAGCTGAGGCACTAAAATTTGCTAGCAAAGCATTTCTGCAGAGAGAGGTAATAAATGAGCACCCAAAATTTACATAAATCATCCTTAGAATCTAATACTAATATTAAGCCTTGTATGCAAAGTGATAAAATACATGCCACCTACACAGAATAACAGAAAAATTGTACATTAAAATTTCCCAAGATTTCACAGATAACTAGGGGACTTTCAAAGTTGGAATAGCTAAGCATTTTCATTGAATACTTGTAGTATTCTTTGGAGACAAGAAAAATTAGAGTTTTAAGTAAAGGTAAACTTTCGCTAGAAAAAAAAAAACTAATATTTCTCTGAAGTTTATAAGAAGACTTAAAAAGATCAAGGTACTCCATTAGGAACTTAACCACCTTCCAAAATATCCATCCCTCAACACTGGGAAATTTACATTGTCTAACGTCTATCTAGTATAGAAGTAACAAACAAATACTGTAGGGAGCTGGGACTGTCTATTAGAATGTCAACATATAGCCTCTTCATGTGGTGGTGACATCACCATAGAACATAGCTGAAGTCTCCAAGAATGAGCTCTAAAATGAACAGGACAGAAATTCATAGTAGTTGATGACCTAGCATTAGAAGTCATATATAACTTTCATTGTCAAAACAAGTATGAACCTGTTTGCTTTCAAGAAGGGATGGAGGTGAGTATGAAATGAAGGGTGGGTATCATAGACATCACCTGCTAATGAGATGTCCTCTGAGTATTTGTGACTGAAATTTTGAACAGCCACATCTATTCCCTTGGCAACACATTTGTTTCTTCCTTCATAATATCCAGGATTTCTTCCTAGTTGGCAGGGTAGGGGAAAGCAATAGTTTCAAGCAAATATAACATCAGGCTCAGGCTTATTATCCAGAAATTTGAAAGCTAAATTAGATCCAAGCTGAAGTGGAAATATTTGGGTCCGTTCTTTGTTATACTTTATCTTGTTCTGAAGATCTGTGAACACAAGAAAAAAGGATTCTATAAACATTGATTGGGCTGTGTCCCTGTAGTATGCTGTTTTTATGTCCTTTGGGTATAGTCTGAGAAGAGGAATAGCTGGATCAAATGGTGGTTCCATTCCCAGCTTTCCAGTGAATCTCCATACTGCTTTCCATATTGGCTGCACTGATATAAGGCGGGTGACTCAAAGTGGGATAGGGAGGGACAGCATGGGTGAAAATTACCTCTAGTTAGGGAATAGGGGTGGGAGGAAAAGGGAGGGAGAAAGGGAATAGCAAGGATAGTGGAAAGAGGCGGTCATCATTATACAAAATTCATGTATGAAGATATGAACTTGGTGTCAACATACCATATATACAAACAGAGATTTGATAAATTGTGGTATAAAGGTGTATTAAGAATCGTAATGCAAAAAAAAATTATGAATGTAATGCGCTCCACTATTGTCATGTATGTAAGAAATTAAAAAAAAAAAAGAAATAAGGATTCTAGTCTTCACACCCACAAAGGCAAGAAAAATGCAATGGCTTAACTAATTCAGGAGTGGGTTAATGGATGCACACAGCATTCTATGATCAATAATGATTATGGATTCTATGCAAATAATGTCTATAGACCTTTGATAAGAATTTAATATTTTTCTGTAAGAAATGGTGCAATTGTTTTTTTCAAAAGCATGAGTTAAATATTATAAATTGATTTGTTGTTTGGTGTGATAAAAATTATAGGCCAAATAAGTCAAATAATGTTAATTTTTGTGATATAATAGTC